AGAAAAAAAATAGACAACTGTTTTAGTAATTGAAAGAAATAAGAACTTTATAAAGTCGTCTGCATACTATCAGTTACTCATGTCCAACGTGTGAGGACATTTTCAAAGCTAAAGATCAAGGTTAAGAAATTTGCTGTCTGGAGAGAATTTGGAATTATACATGTTGCTATCCATTGAAAAGGAATTGCTAGATGAATTGGTAGCAGAAGCAGTTATTGGCAGTTTCGCATAATCATCTAGTGAACACAAACGATTTCTCTAAATATAGTGGACTATATGTACAGTAAGAATATCGATTAATTACTTAGAATTAAAAAAATAATTCGTTTATAATATTCTATATTTACACTTGGTATCTACAGTCAATAATATGTGCAGTATATTTACACTAGTGGCCGAGTGGTTAGGACGTCCGTATTCTGACCATTAGACCCGGGTTCGAATCTTATCATGGTTGATTTGTCAGGAAGGAAACTTCCAGATGTTATCGAACTGGAGGTTATCCATCCCAGTGTGGAAAGTGCAATTGGATAAACGGAACCCTTGGGGACGTCGATAGCTGTCCATGGTGGTCTTGATCAAATGGTTGATCACGTGAAATAACACGCTCTTTCCCAGAAACTGTAACTAAGGTCTGCTCAGCATAGTGGGCTCTGGGGGTGTTGAATAAACACAAATGTGCCTGAGCGAGCGTCTGGGATTGGCTAACTGGCCTAGTCGACGGGTATCCTCGAGTACGAGTGGCCATCTATATATATATATATATATATATACTAAGAAATACACTTTTTTTCCATGAAAATTTTAATGTATTTTTGAAAATGTTATATATTCGTAATGAAAATGAAATGATAGCATTGTAGTTTTGAGTGGCCTCTCTTTATCTCCTGGCAACCAATATTTTTTAGAGCCAGTTTGCCACAGTTGCTGTTGTGTTTTCTGTAGAATTAGTTTATTTTTGTTGTTTTTATTTACCTAGTAGAGTTGCCAACCCTATACGCAACTGTTTTTTTTTTCTGTTCAGAGTTGTCCTTCTGATAGACTGGTTGCCAACCAAGGCTATACATCCCAGCTTGTCCAGCTATTTCATCCATAGCTGGAGGAGAAGAAGATAAGGATTCATATTTTTCCCAAAAGTATTTATGCGAAAGTGAACGCAAAGAACTCAACCGGAATTTGAACTCGGCACGTCGATTCCATGTTTGGCACCGATAAACCGACACACTACGCGGTTACACATTTATATTTGAGGACGAGAAATAAAACGATCAATGAAAGGAATTCTATTAGCATTGATGTAATGTAAAGAAGATCGAATATTGCATGGATCAAAAACAGATCAATGTTGGTCGTTTGTATTTGAATCCATCAGCATTCACTTGGTTCGAAACCAGGTTAATGTAGGCCATTTGAATCCATAAGCATTCACTTTGTCCGAAAACTGGTCAATGTTTGTAGTCTGTACTTAAATTCTTAAGCATTTACTTGGTTCGAAAACGGGTCAATGTTGTTCGTTTTATTTAAATCCACAAACATTTACTTGGTTCGAAAACACATAAATGTTGGTCGTTTGTATTTGAATCCTTAGGAATTTACTTGGTTCAAAAACAGGTCTATGTTGGTCATTTGAATCCATAAGCATTTACTTGGTTTGAAATCAGGTCAATGTTGGTCATTTGAATTCATAAGCATTTATTTGATTCGAAAACTGTTCAATGTTGGTCGTCCGTATTTGAATCTTTAAGCATTTACTTGTTCAAAAACAGGTCAATGTTGGTCATTTGAATCTATAAGCATTTACTTGGTGCGAAAACTGGTCAATGTGGGTCGTCTGTATTTGAATCCTTAAGCTTTTTCTTGGTTCGAAAACAGATCAATGTTGGTCGTTTGTATTTGAATCCATAAACATTTACTTGGTTGGGAGTGAATGCAAATATTGATTGTTTTTATTTGAATCTGTAAGTATTTACTTGGTTCGTCTATAGATACATATTGGTAGTTTATGTTTGAATCTGTAAGCATTTACTAGGTTGAGGTGTAAGTACTAGATGTTTATATTTGAGTTTCAAGCATTTAATTGATTTAGGTGATCGGTCAATATTCGTTTATATTTGAATCAATAGACATTTTCTTTTTAGCTATTTCCTTATGTAGAAGCGCGAGATTTTAACTCTAAAGCGGATACAGTCGTCGCATTCTAAGTCCCATCAAAAGGCCAATAGATAGATAGATAGATAGATAGATAGATAGATAGATGTTTTCCAATGCACACATACTTTTATGAATGTGTGTATATCGATAGAAGTATCTGATTGTTTTTCCCGTAAATACAGATATTTTAAATATGTGTGTGTGTGTGTGTGTTTGTGTGTGTGTGTGTTTGTGTGTGTGTGTGTGTGTGTGTGTGTGTGTGTGTGTGTGTGAGAGAGAGAGAGAGAGAGAGAGAATTTGCACACACATACGTGGACACGCTCAGGAGCGCACACATTCACAGAAGGACCCACGCGCTTCCACAGATAAATCTGCGCGGATTTGGCGTATAAGTAAGTGGTTTTTTGTTTTTTTTTGCCCGTGTTTTTCACTTCTGCACGCGCCATTGTCTGCCTTTTGAAAAGAATCCTCTCAAACCGCTCGTCATCCAATACCTTTTATCCTTTCTGCAATCATTACTGCCGTCTAACACGTGATTGCGTTAGGGCGTGCCTTTGCCTGACATTAATGGGGCCAAGAAATCAGATCTCCAGACCGTTTGTGACGGCGTCGACGAACATCGCGTTTATTGTTTTTTCGTCAGATTCAGACAGATATCGAAAACGTGAATCTTTGTCTCTCGTCTGTCCAACACTACGCAATGGAATAATTCTTTCTTCCTCTCCTTCCTTATGTGCCGTGTCCTCTCGTGACGTAGGGGATCATAGCTCTCTACAAATTCCTGTAGTTTTGTAGCTATTAAAAAATTGTGCATTTTTTTTTTTTGTTATTTCTCATTAGCCCCGTTCTACCATCCATTGATTCAAACTAACCAAGTAGGTTATTCATTGTTTTCTTCCATCCATCAATGCAGGTATCACATTTTCCAAGCTCTCTTTCCTCATGTGCTCTAGAAATTTCAACTGTCTCTTCCTGATATTATAGACACTAAACTACATCCAACTGCAAGGCCTCTGATGGGGAGGTTTTGAGGAACGTGCAGCCACTTGTTGACTGCTGATGTTCCCGGGTCCACCTTGACCTGGGGTGGTGACACCTGTTGGTGTCACAGCTATGGGAGGGAGGTTAATCCCCAAACTGGGGTCAAAACACTATGAAAATGTAAAAATAGGCAATTTCTCAAACATTCAGGCCGGTAAATGTTGTTAATACTGTTTATTATAAACCGAGCATTTACTTAAATATTTGTATCAATAAAAAAGAATGTATAAACATAAAAATGTCTTAAAATAATTGTCGGACTTTGTCCATTTCATAATATGTGACATCATTTGTTTACATTTGGATACACTATGAGCAGATATGAATGTACGTGAGAAAATCATGGAAAATTGTAGTTTAAAAACAGTAAAATCGACCTTGCTAACCAATCGGCCCAATCGATTAAAGGCACGTTAGGCTATATGACGGTTCCGTATAGGATACAGGTTCGATTCCTGTTGAAGGATGCATATTTTCTATGACAATTTCTCGGACATTCAGGCCGGTAAATGTTGTTATATATATATATATATATATATATATATATATTGACCACTAATATTATCTATAGTCTAAATTTTTATATATCAAGAAAAAAATTATAGGGGAAATGATTTATGACAAAGTCGAGAAAGTTTGCGTGTGACTCGTTTCGTCCTTTAGGACTTCATGCGACTAAGTTTCTGTTTACGCTGATGCGACTACGCATGTGCACGAAAGAGACACGCTGGGAATTTTAATTTAAAGACGATTTTTTTTATTTTTTCGTATGTGTTTTGGGTATAAAATCGAGCCGGTTTCATTTAGATTCTTTTGTTTCTGTTTTTGTTTCCATCACTTTTGTTATTAAAAACCTAGATTGTAATAAGAGAAGACCTGCCAAGAATGTGCGTCCAGGTTCTTGGGACATTTCACCATTCCTGGCAGATCTTCTATTATCACAATGTGGGATATTTAATAACAAAAGTGATGGAAAAAAAAGAAAAGAATTTAAATGAAATCAGCTAGATTATATACCAAAACACATAGAAAACATCATCATCTTTAAATTAAAATTCCCAGCGTCTCTCGTTCGTCCGCATGCGTAGTCGCATCAGCGTAAAAATAAAAAGACGAAACGCGTCACATGAAAAAATTATTCCACTCTGTCATACATATTTCCCCCACCATATATATATATATATATATATATATATATATATATATATATATATATATATTGTTTGTAGGTCCCTAGACACACATCTATGACGTATTTCGTAAGGGTCAAACCCACTACACACACACACACACACATGCATACACACGCATACACACACGCGCGCGCACGAAGAGAGAGAGAGAGAAAGATTTTAAATATTTTAACGCTTTAGCAGCTGATTATGATTATGTAGGTTGGCGCATGCGTGTGTATGTATTTCCGCTGTAAAACGAAATGAGGAAAAATATTAACGAAAGATTGACCTAATGTTGATGGGTCTTCCCCCATCAGAGCAACTTCCCGACCAACACCAGGCTTCCCCGATCTCTCTCTCTCTCTCTCTCTCTCTCTCTCTCTCTCTCTCTCTCTCTCTCTCTCTTTTTTTTTTACTATTTTTTTTCTTGACACATGACTTGTTATGAACGATTACGGTCTATTTCCCTCAAGGAATTTCTCTCCGATTTTCACACTCATCTTTGTTTTTTCTTTCTTTTTTTTTTTTTTTTTTTGTCTTTTGATTTTGTTTTTCATCTTTTTCTCTTTCTTCTTCTCGTCTTTTTTTCATTTTTTTGTCTCTTTTTTTTTTTTGCCAATCTTTTCCTATTTCATGTTGCGCTTCTTAGACACTAATTTTTTTTTCTTCTTTATTTTTCTTGTTTCATCTATTCTATTTTCTTTTCTCTTTCTCTCTGTCTCTCTCTCTCACCCTCTCTCTATATCTATCTATCTATCTATCTATCTATCTATCTATCTATCTATCTATCTATCTATTACTCATCCAATCAATCCTATCACCGCCTTCTTTTTTGTCATCGTCTTCTGACTGCATTTTCTTAATCTTGACTCATTGGCCTGTGAGTGTTTTGCTCTTCTCACGTTTTCTTTCGCTTGTCTTGCTTGTTTTTCTTTCTTTCCTTTTCTTTGTCTTTCTTTTAACTTTTTCTTTTTCTTCTTCTTTATCACTTTTTCTGATTTCTTGTCTTTCCTTTTTTTTATTTCTTCATCTCCCTTCTTTTCATTATTCTCTTTTTTTTCTTCTTTACGGTTTTATTAACCTTGTATATTTTAGTAAACATATTTTTAATTTTCTTTCCGTTCTAGTGTAGCGTTCTCTTTATTCTTTGTCGTCTGCTGCTGAGTTTTTACGTTCCCTTTCTACGCCATTTTTTATTTAGCTTTTCTTTATTTTTTTCCTTTCTGTTATTGTCGTCCTATTGCTTTTATTTATTCCTTTTCTTCGTCTCTTCTTTTATTCCTTCTGTCATTAATTTTCTCTAAAGCAAAATCGCCTGTTACTCTTTTTGCGGCATCTTATATTCTATTTCTCAACTCCTCTTTTCGGATTATATTTTTTGAATTAAATTCACGCCATGCAAGGCACTAAAACACAAGAGGTTACTAAGTGTGAAAGAATAACAAAAAGAGAAACATTATTAAGAATCGAGAACAACAGAAGAAGAGTAAAACATGAAGACATTAGATAACAATTGACATTGCATTTAAATTTTTAAAGATCAAAGTTGGCTGGAAAACATGGAGCCGGAAGAGTGTTCTACAAGCAAGAAGTGTGATAAAAGAAACTGTTAGCATAGAACCTACGGTTACATGTAACCAATTCAAATATAAATTAATGAGACATTGTGGCTAAACTAGTACTGCGCGTAAATTCATAAATTCTAGGTACCCTAGCAAAAAACACATCCGGATAATTAATATAAAAGTATGACCGTAATTCCCCATGTATAATACGCCTTCATCCATAATACGCACCCCTAAAATTGTGCTGAACGTATAGGAAAATGCTTCTACTCATGCATAATACGCACCCCTTGTTTGGTAATCAAACTCTATAAATTGTACTTCTCCAATTTCATTACGGCTAGATTTTCCTACTCTTATTTAAAAAAAATGTTTTTTTTAATTTAGTTTTATGATAATTCTTAATTTATTTTATGGCAATTTTTTAAAGATTTCTTTTTTGTAGCTGTGCATAATGCGCATCTCTGATTTTGCTTATTATTTTTTTCAGAAAAAAAATGCGTATTATAATAATATTGCTGATTCTTCTTTAAATTTTATCAAGGATCCCTAAATATATAGCAGGAGCACCGGACCATATGTAGCAGCAATATCCAAAGCATGGACAAATGGTAGACTTATAAATATGTAAGAAATATACCGGATATGTAAGAAAAATTATCTCGCACAACACAATGAATCAACTTTCTTAGTAGCAGACCTAGCAATGAATTCAATATAGTCTTTTGACTTCATGTCAGCTGAGAATGTTAGCCTATAGGTTAGCATCATCCATGCTGATGGAATTTCAGAAGGGAGTCTCTCAGTTAATTAACAGAGAACAGTTGTGTTTTGGCCATTCTAACAAGCCATTCTTTGCCCCAGTTAACAACAGACTCTCAGCTATTTTTTTAGATTAGCTGCTAATTTAACATTATCAGATTTACTATCGAGACAGGGGTAAATGGTTGTGTCATCAGCATAGATATCAAGTTGAGAGCAGATTGCCATCAGGAAGGTTATTGATGAAAGCTAAGAACAAAGTAGGGCCAAGGAAAGCGCCCTGGGGACGGCTGCATTAGTACAAAGGGATCAGGAAGAATAGCCGTTTCGTGATTTGAAGAAAAAGACTGGATCAGTTCAAAAATTCGTCCGGAGGCGCCATAACCTTTCACCTTGTGAAGAAGACCTGTATGCCAATCCCTATCGAACGCTTTCCTAAATGTCCAAAGTAACAGACTGAATTTCACCATTACGAGCCATGCATTTTTTTTATCGATTTACCCGAAGCAAGGCGATAATGCCACTAAGATGCAAGTGGGCTACTGGGAGTGAAGAGTTTAGAAGGAATCAGAAAACCAATCCTACACAGTAGAAGCTTGAAACAGTTTCAGTAATAATCGTTAATACATCAGCAGATGATCTACAGTAATGAACGCCATATTGCTTTTCTGAAAGAAGGCCCTGCGATGTGAAATGATAAAGAAATTCAGCGATGATTTGGGCCTCTAGTAATTTAACAAAATGAAGTAGAAGGCTAATAGGTCGATAGTTGGAAGAGTTCTTAAAGACTGTAACAACAGATGAGGGTTTCCAACAAGCAGAAAACAAGAGGTAGCGAGGCGTTTAGAGAGAATAGGAGTCAGCTCAGGAGCACATTTCATAAGTACTATAACATGAATACGATCAGGTCCATGTTGTTTGTGGGGGACCAGATTAGGGAGGATTTACTTTTGATTCCAAGTGGAAGTCTTTCAGACACAAGCCACACCTAGATAACAATAGGGGATCAAACTGATATCTGTCTTTCTGTCTGTCTGTAATATATTTACCATGTTTACACTTTCCCAAAAGTTCTAATTAGATAGACAGATTCAAATAGAATGGAATAGATAGATAGATAGATAGATAGATAGATAGATAGATAGATAATGAAGTTGCGTTAGATAGATAGATAGATAGATAGATAGATAGATAGATAGATAATGAACAGACTGCGATAGATAGATAGATAGATAGATAGATAGATAGATAGATAGATAGATAGATAATGAACAGACTGCGATAGATAGATAGATAGATAGATAGATAGATAGATAGATAGATAGATAGATAGATAGATAGATAGATTCTCTGATCTTTATAAAAAATATTTTTTTATTAATGAGATATTTTACTTAGCATCAGAAAGAGACCGTTGGAATTTCTAGAGCACATAAGGAGGAAAGGAGGCTTAGAAAACTTGACACACGCAGGACATATTGAAAGGAAGAGGGGCAGAGAAAAGCAGCACATAATCTAACCAACGAACTTTATTGAAATATTAATAATATTAATTATTTATTAAGGACAGGAAATTGTGACGGCCCACATATTGAAGGGACATAACACAATCTTCCAGTCATCTAATTTTTTCTCATCCTCATTCATTTTCTAATTACATGTTTATTTCAGTTTTATTTGCAGTCCAATCACTTTAAAACGGTTTGAACATTTTCCAGTAAATTTCTTACGTTTTGGTGTCATTTTGCACTGCATTCTTTTCATTATTTTTAATCCGATTGAATCAATAGCTTCATCTACTGCAAGGAAAGTTGGGTCTCTGTGTCGCGCCAAAAGGTTTTTCTCGTCTGAGTCCACCCTTCAAATCTACAAATCAACCATTCGTCCTTACATTGAATACTGTTGGCGTATAAGGTCTGGTGCCCCCTCGCTGTTCGTCTTGAGATCCTCGACAAAATCCAGAGACGGATATGCAATGTGATAGGTCCTGATCTGGCATCTCGTTTACAGACTCTTTCTCACAGATCTGATTTGGCTTCCCTCTGTCTTTTCTACAAATATTTCCATGGCAACTGCTCTGACGGACTACTTTTACTGGTAATGAATTTAAGCGTGCTTACTAGGTTGGCATCTCGGTCCCACCCTTTCACTGTCGAAACGGTTAAATGTAACCGGCTCTTTTACTCCAACAGCTTCTCTCGCACTTCCCGACAGTGTAACTCCCTTCCTCTTACTTGCTTCACTGATAGCTATAATCTTCAAATATTCAAATGTAATGTCAATCGGCATCTTCGGATGCCTTGATCCTGATCCCCGTCCTTCTCTTTTTCCTTTCCTCAAACACCGCTCTCTCTCTCTCTCTCTCTCTCTCTCTCTCTCTCTCTCTCTCTCTCTCTCTCTCTCTCTCTGTAGCCCCTTGCGTGCTAGTGGCACTCCCGCCTTGCTTGGGGTGATATGTTTAAAAAGAATTTTGATGATATTGGCCAACCACACTCCAGATTTTCTAAGCTGAATTTTGGGTGCCATTTGTCGAAACTAAAATGCTATTTTTTGTTTTTTCTGACAGCCATGTTTCCAAATTCTGCTGTTTTAGTTTCATCACAGTTCAGCTTAAACTCATGCAAGTAGAAAAACCGGGAAAATATCTGTTGTATGACTTTTCGTGTGTGTCTGAAATGCAAATGAAATAGAATAGCATGAAACACATCCTGACCAATTCAGAAAATAATAGATTATTGGAAAATGAAATACTAATAAAAAAAATAAAAAAAAACGAAATAAAAAAAGATTAAAATTGAAAACCACAGTCTAATTCAATCGTTAAATTCTGAGAACTTTAAACTTCAACCCTATGTTGTAACTACTAGGCTACGTCGCTGGTGACAAGAGTGTTTATGTCATTATTTAAGGAATGTTCTAATCTTATCTATTTTTATTATCACCAGAAAGAATTTCTTTTCTTTCTTTTTAAATTTAAAATATTTCTTTCTTTCTTTTTTTTGCTTCTGTCTGTTTGGCTTTCTTTGATTTTTTCTTTCTTTTTTTTTTCTGACTTTTTCTTTCTTTCTATCTGTCTTTCTTTCTGCCTTTTTTCGTTCTTTCTTTGTTTCTCTTTCTTTCTATCTTTCTTTCTTTCTGTTTGTCTTTTTTCTTTCTGTCTTTCTGTCTTTCCTTCAGTCTTTTTTCTTTCTTTCCCTCTATCTTTCTTTCTTTCTTTGTGTCTTTTTCTTTGTTTCTTACTTTCTTTCTTTGTTTTTCTTTCTTTTATTCTGTCTTTCTTTAATTGTCTGTCTTTCTTTCTGTTTCTCTTTCTTTCTGTCTTTATTTATTTCTGTCTTGTTTATTTAAGTATCGTTTTACTTTTTCTTTTTCTTTTTTAGTAAATCACGTAAAAATAGCAAGGGTGATGGCTTCCCAGCTGGGTTGAGTTTTTTTCTGAAATTAAGTTGCAATGAAGTGTGGAATGTGAGAAAACTGTTTTACGACCTTCCGCCTTTGGTGGCGATAGGTTTAGGCGAATATAGAAGATCGGGTGCCATGAAAATATATTGTAGGGGTCTATCGACAAAGATCTGATAGGCAGCGAGTTCAGACTGGGATAGATTGATAGAGTGAAAGAGATAAAAGAGAGATCAGACAACCGTTATTAGTCTGAATAATTTCATCTTCGGCCCGAAAAGCGTCACTTATCCATGCACTTTATGAATGACGGAATGAAAACGGCTTCCTTCTATTTTGTCGTTTGCTCACCCACGATAGATATACAGATCACGAACAGACTGAATTAGATAGATAGATAGATAGATAGATAGATAGATAGATAGATAGATAGATAGATAGATAGATTTAGTGCTATGATTGGGATACCCACACAGAATAGGAAGGTATGATTTTATCTCGATGTCAAGTGTTTCTGTCATATGGCCGGCGGATGGGTTTTGAAGTCGGGTCTTTTTTAGCAGCATCATCTTGATCGAAGATCGAAAGGTTAAATATGTAAAAGAAATCATTTGGTGGCAAGTGATACGAAAGCCGGACATTGATGATTTCCGTTTGCGGGTCTATATGAAGTCACGGTTGGGATTGTAAGAGAAATGGCAATTATTGAATGGCAATTAAACTGAGAAACATATTTTCTTGAAAAGTTGTTTTAATAGAAATATTTGAATATATGTCATATATATATATATATATATATATATATATATATATATATATATTACATAAAATAATTAGAACACGGATATTACTGCTATTATGGTTTCTACCAATATAGTATCATCAGATTGCCTGATAGAAAACATGATAGCAGTACTGTCGCTGTTCTAATTATTTTATGTTTTAAATTACCCTACATTTTTGTTTTTTGAAAATTTTATTCAGCCCTTTCTTATTAATTTCCTTGGCAAATATTATTTACTAAAAGTCGTCGTCGTCGTCGGCATCCGTCCGTCTCAAGAGACGATGGAGTAACGCGGTGCGCCACGAGCCTGGGGGGGATATATGGAGAACTAGGGCTGCCAAGACGTCTAGTTTCCCCTCTCGGCCTTGGTAGCAGAGTCTAAAGGAGAGGATAAACCAATGCAGTTTGGAACCAGCGCGGCTTCAAGAGTTGCCGGAAGGCAGCACAAAGTGCCGTCCATCCGCCTTAGGGGCTCCACTAAAAAAGTACACATTGTATATTATATATATATATATATATATATATATATATACCTGTATATATATATATATATATATATATATATATATATATATATATATATATATATATATACACGTGTGTGTATGTGTATGTATATCTAGGCATCATATTTTCATTCAAACATGTGAGGGAGGTAAATCGCTTTATGTTTTTTATTATTAATGTTGTTTAAATACTCAACCTTCAGTTATACAGGATAATTGAAAAGTAACTCACGTCTATCTATAACTGTTACAAGACAGGAGAGTCTATCATACATAAAATAGGAGTCACTTTTTAGTCATCCTGTATATATATATATATATATATATATATATATATATATATATATATATATATATATATAAACACAGTTTTAACGGTCACCCAAACCTGCTGCTTCAGTCATAATCCCTTTTGGGACTCTTCAGTTATTGAGGTTTGCAAAGCGTGATTCAGACAGTGTACTATATATATATATATATATATATATATATATATATATATATATATATATATATATATATATATCTTAATCAAACGTGTTTCATTTAATAATATAGATATATTATGTCTATTTATTTTTGTAATAATCCTTTCCAGTTCTCTAATCAGCTTCTTGATGTTAAGATGAAATTCACAAAGGAAGGCACCGTAGTTTTTTCTAATCCAAGTACTTTCGATCTCCCTCTAGATCATCTTCAGGAGTTAATTGCGATGACGAACCTATTGCAACTATGATCATTGTAATGATGCTTTTTAAAAACACGAGTGAAATTTTAAATTTATCCGTTGTAGCTATGAAAAATATTCCATAGCGTCAGTTTCGCAGAATACACTCATCATTTCTAGTTTAGAGTTCCTTCTAAAGAATTTTAGCCAGAACTGAGATGAAATTTCAGTTCTTCGCTTGGCGAAAAATTCCTCGCCTTCCATTTGAAATTCTTTCCCTGGGAGCCACATAACCCCACCCCCATTTGAGAAACCTAGCACGAAGTAAGTCTTAGTAAATATCAAAGAGATCGAATTTCTAGCCCGCTCTTTTTCCTCTGCGTCTCTTCTGCAACTAACCCCAAATCCACAGGTGTTTTCGGTCAAGATATAAAACAGTGTCATGCAGGTGGGAGATTCTCGATTATTTTGGACTGGTGATTGTTGAAGAGCATTGAGAAAAAAGTTCGTGACCTTTTCAAATAGCGTTTACGGAGCACATTTGATATAACAGATAACCAATACTATCCAGCTTTATATATGCCGCAAATATGGGCATTTCTGTCTCGAAAAATCAAAACAAAAATAAACAGTAATTGTTGCCCACAAATTTCGTATTCGAAAGGGCCTGTGAAGGAAGATTCAGGGTGCATATCGTACACGGACCCAGGAGCAAAATTGAATCGCGAAAAGGAGCCCAGAAATTTATTGGTATTCTCATTTTGGGAATTCTGGAAGTCAAAGAGGATCCGGGAATTACCTTGAGTTTCTGTAGGAATGTACGGCAAGAGTGCGTTGAGGGTGGAGGAAATACCTAACTCTCCCGGCAACTAATAAGCAGAGATGAAAAAGAGACGGGTAATAGGAAGAGATGGAAACGAGACGGGTAATAGGCAGAGATGGACAAAAGATGGGTAATAGGCATAGATGGAAAAGAGACTGATAATAGGCAGCGATGGACAGGAGACAGGTAATAGGCAGAGATGGAAAAGAGGCAGGTAATAGGCAGAGACAGAAATGGGACGGGTAATAGGAAGATATGGAAAAGGGACGGGTAATAGGCAGATATGCAAAAGGGACGGGTTATAAGAAGATATGGAAAGGGGACAGGTAGTATGCAGAGATGGAAAAGAGTCGGGTAACAGGCAGAAACGGAATAGAGACGGGTAATAAGCAGATATGGAAAAAATACAGCTAATTGGCAAAGACGGAAAAGAGACGGGTAATAGGCGGAGATGAAAAAGAGACGGATGGTAACAAAAATACCACTGCCTCGGAAACCACAGAAATTTGAGGAACAAAAATACCCACGGGGTCAACTTCACATTTTCTTTAATCTATATTATTTCAGCTTCTAAGATGACTCCAACTCTCCTCCTGTATCCAATAAAATATCTAGCATGATCAACAATCTGAAAAACGCCAGCATACTCCCACCCATTGTGTGAGTGTATTGGCCCATTCTGTAATACCGTGTTTTATATTTAGTTGGTGCTAACACTGTGCAACCTTATACAAGACGATCAATTGTTTCTGGATATTTATCACAGATTTGGCATTTGAGTTCAAATTTTTCAGTATCTATGCTTGGTAATTTCTAATTTGAAAGCATTGGTCATGTGCAGCAAGAATAAATGCTTCGGTTTTAGCTTTTAACCCTGCTCTACATAACCACTTATTATTATTATTATTATTATTATTATTATTATTATTATTATTATTATTATTATTATCTTAATTTCAGTAGTGATTACACACTACCCAGCAGGTCTACAAGAAGACTTAAGGCAGGTAGTGTGATGTTGTTATGGCTACATTTCATGACTTTTTGTCCAACTCCCATAAACATCACTAGCGTTACAAGGTCAACGTTCTTAGTGTGTGGGCTGTACTTATCAAGACAATTTTTTGTATTTTTCTTAAGTTGAGAGTTCCAGGGATTTTAATCGTTTCCCCTTAAACAAGGCAATAAAGTGACTAAGACGCAGGTGGCTATAGGGAGTGAAAGAGAATGAGAAGACTATTTTGTTATTTTATTTTTAGGAATTCAAAAACCTTGGAAAAGAGTTTTTTTTTTTGTTACAGGCATTATCAACACAGAACGTATCTGACAGGATCTTTTATTCTCTTTGTGAAAAAAAGTTCCTTTCCTTTTCATACAAACAGAAAATATAACCAAACGAAATTCACAACTAATTTTTCAATGGCTTCTTCATTTCATATCTTTTCAATTTATTCTTTTTGTGCGCAAATACCGAATCACTTTGCATCTGTTCTCTGCTTTCTTACGCACACGATAATAAAGCACCATTTTTGTCTTTTCTTTTCAAAGCCCAATCTATTATTCTATCATTCGGGTCATTTCCTCTTCTTGTTTAACTGTCAACTCGACCATAAAGACTAATTCAAAAGAATAAATCCTTCACTAACAACTTCTCTTGTAGCAGGATGTTTCGCTCCAAAAGGAGCTTGCATACAATTCCTGACTAAAAGTAATTATGTTCACAACTGGTTGTTTACAACACGCGACAAATTAACATAAGTTCCACCACAAAAAAACTATGGAACTAATTCATTTTAATGAATTACAAAAATTATATTATTATTATTATTACAGCAGAATCCCTCATATCCGGGATCCCGCATATCCGGACATGACTTTAATGTGTATATTTGAACTATTTGGGTGATATGTAACTGATTTGAAATTTCTGTTTTTCAGGAAATTTACTTTGGATAATTGCTTATGCTTATTTCACCCTAATGGCTTGTATTGGTGCAAAAGATGATAGGAATAAGAGGGGGAGATGACAACGAGACACATCTGCAACAAGACTGCAATTAAATGCATTATCGTGATGAAACCTGGACTGAAATTGAAAAAGCTATTGAAAAGGCTGTCAGTTTTATGGAAAGAAAGCCAGCATTCAGCTATTACGATTGCAATAACGTACACAGATAAAAAGTGTGTTTCGTTTAAAAAAATTTCAAGAACAAAAGCAAAACGAAATGCGAAAAAAGTTGAGAATGACATTAGAAGAGAAAGAATCATCATGCAACAGCGATTAAAAAATCCTCGTTACATTATTTGTTTTGCATACGTGGCATATTTAATTTAATAAATTTTCATTAACATTACATAATTTATTTCTTTTTCCTTAAAATCAATTCTGTTATATTTCACTCGCCATTAGCTTATTTTGTTTACTATAAAACACTGAAAATAAATGTTAAAACTGATTTCAGTCCTTTTATTTTAATCTAAATATAACCCCTCATATCCGGACCTTGTAAACAATTCCTCATATCCGGAAGGCCTTCTTAGTCCGGTTGTCTGGGATTCTACTGTATTTCCTTTGATTTTGTAATATACACATTTCTTTCTGGGTCCCAACCAGAGCCTTAATTTAAAAAATGGAAACATAACATTTTACACTAAAGATTTTTGTAAAAAAAAATAATAAAATAAAACCTACGATCACACACATTTTACATAGATAAAGCTCTTCGTAATGTGCGAACTGTACTTGCGAGAACAATTGTTTGTATTTCTTTAAGGCATGGGTTACCAGGAATTCCTTCCATGAGTCTCTCGGAACCCTTTCTAATCAATCCTAGAGTGGGGTGGTAGCACCTGTTAGGGTCCCAGCTATGGGCAAATAGTGAACCCCCAAACTAGACTCAAAACGTGTAAAATAAGTTTTATTACCAGCAATCCATTTTTAAAAAACATTATTACCAGCAATGAATTTTTGAAGAAAAAATTATTATCAGTATTACCAGTATCTCTCTATATTTCTGAGATTTAGGTATTATGTACATTATTTACGTTATTCGGACTATTGTCCTCATCTTTGTCGCCATATTTAATACAACGTTTCGGCCGTTGTACGCTCTGACCTTCTTCAGGTGGTTGAAATGTCGAACTTAACCCTTTGTTTCGCTCACTGGAGTAGACTGTTCTAGTTCCACGTGTCATGTTTAATGGATGTCAGTTATCAGTTATCTCCTGTTAATTTCCCTCTGCAAGTTCTCCACTGCCTTAACCGGGTATTGAACTCACACTCTTTGGGTCCCGTCACTGGATCTAACCAACGCCTTTATCCATTAATTTATCCATGCTGTAACAGGATTTGGACAATTTACACACCGTATATATATATATATATATATATATATATATATATATATATATATATATATATATATATATATATATATATATATATATATATATATATATATATATATATATATATATATATATATATATATATATATATATAATAATTTTTTGTTTGTCTGAATATGTACATTATTTTCTTTTACCGAAATAGGAATATCTTACATTCCGAACACATCCAGCATGTTATGACTGTGTTCATAATTGATATTATTGAGAATTGGTTTCTTATTTTTAATTGTTAACGCTAATTTTTATTTTTAAAATAGATAGATAGATAAATAATGGACTGAAATAGATAGATAGATAGATAGATAGATAGATAGATAGATAGATAGATAGATAGATAGATACTAACGGACTTGAATAAGATAGATATGGTCAATTATATTGAGATCAGGCCTTTGTGATGGCCAGATAGATAGATAGATAGATAGATAGATAGATAGATCAAATGTTTGTGGACACCCTCTGGATTTAATAATTAGTAAGTTTCATACCTTCTTTAGGTTAATCAACTCCTAAGGTAAGAGGCTGAAACTCTTGAACCCATTCGTTCTTTTAGAGATATATGTAGTGACGCAAATTTCAAATCGTCCATTTCTAAGATTACTATTAGCCAGTAAGGCAGATTAGGCAAAAAGCGTTGAAACTTTAAGGAAAATTTATGCAGTTGCAAATTAATCGAAATTCCCTCTAACTCGAAGTGAGCTTGTAAAATAGCTTTGAAAAAGGCACGCAACCCACAATTTTTAGATGATTCTTCAAAACCCAAAGTATGCTCCCAGAACATTAGCTTCGACATGGAAGCAGTGTAAACACGATGCCATGAGAAATCTTTCTTTTCAAATCTTATCCCCAAGAAATCAACATTTATTGATTTACACTACTGACAT